CCTCACAGTCCATCCCATTTCCTGGAAGGCTCATATCACAGGAGGTGGGCACCTCCTCATCAAAAGGTTATTACCACAAGGTTTAAAAACAGCATCACCTCAGGGTCTCAAGGTAAAAGGAAAGTGCAGGGAAAACAGCTGAGACTGGGCAGCTCAAGCCTTAAATGAAACCAATTTCAGGTTATCTGAAAGCTACTGCTGCATTTGAGAACCTTCCTGGGGAAGTTAGATCGAAGGGCCTTCACAGTAACTTGAGCAACTTCGGGGCAATAGAAAAAGTGTTAGCTCTCTGGGTGAGCCTTCTGCAACCCTCCCCTGTGCAAATGGCAGCCGTCTTACTGGAACTGAACTTCAATTCCAGCGAGCAAAATCCTACAAACTCTCTTAACTGCATGTTTGGAACCAGGCTGCCCTCCAATTCATCCGGAAAAACAATGCAAAAACCACCCTTGAGAATCTCGTGTGTTTAACAAGGAAGCCCTGCCTGGGTGCAAGTCTGGCTGCAGAGCCACCGGCACTGATGAGGAGCCCAGGAGTCACCCTTTGGTTAATCCCAGAAGGGCTCAATTTGGCAAAACCCAGGCAGTAGTTGTGTTGGTGATGAGCCCACTAGTCACACTCAGGGCTTATTGCTTTGGGCTGGCGGCCTCCCAGTAGGAAGCCTCACAATGACCTAATTCCTTTCCTGGAATTGGGCAGTTTAGGGCCCTGCTGATAAGGATCCTCACTACATAGCGAGAGAGCTTAATTTCAGAACGTTAATCAACCTCACTCACAATTTCGAGTCTTTTACATTTCTAGCTGCCCCAGCAAAAGAATTCTACCAAAAGAATAAATAAAAAAGGCATATCGTATGTGCTTTCTCCCCAACCCCCGTCAACCGGTTCACTTTTTAACCCATGGCAGAAATCTCTTCCCCAGCAAAATGGATCTGATTTGTCTCAATATTCACATGGCCTCTGCCAAGGAATAACCTGTTTGTTCAGTTATATGGTCTCAGTTCTAGTGTACTTACCTACACCTGAACCAGATATTTGGAGGGAACCTGAAGACCGAGACTGGCAGGTCTAACAGACCCTACGTGGCCCCACTGAACAATACAGCACCTACCTCAATGTCAGACACACAGCTGGAGCTCAATAAATATTTGTTGAATAATTAATGTTCATTAAAGTAGGAAACTTCTTAAACCTACTCAGAAATAAGACCTAGTGGTCAGGTATGAGAACATGTCCCATTAATCCAGGAGACATTTAACCCATATCTCTGTGAGACCAGTGCTATAGATTAGGCTCTTTTTGGGAACAAGGCAAAGAGCTGAACCACCAAATATTATTAAACTCCATTTAATGAAAACTATTTGTGTTCGAATTTACAGTACCATTTGGTAAAACTTTGGAATCTGATGAACTTGGACTCAGATTTTTTTGTGTTGACTTGCTTCCCTAATTTTCCTTCATTAAAAGGCCAATTTTGTGATTCCATCGTTTTCATTTGCATTTTCATTGCGCTTGGAACTGAACAGAGTATGAATACATGAAGCTTCCAGGCCTCCTAGTGTGTGCAAATAAGAAGAGGAAGTTAGCAAAATGCCGGCTATGAGACCACAAGGGAAGTCTGGCTGCAAAGTGAAAGAATTTTATTGGGCAAAGCCGCATAAATTTTTATCTAACAGAAGCACATCAATGTTTGAACAACTTTTTACATGAGGAAAAATTCCATTTAATCTAGCTGACACACATTACTAGTAAAAGCAAAAAAAAGGCTTAAGTTTCTTCCTTGAGTTAGTGACATTTTCTTAGGTTGTCATGGTCTGATACTTGAATAATGGAAAAATTCCCAAGGAGAACCATACGGGCTGGCAGGCAAGTCAGCTGGCCCATAATTCTGCACATATGTGTTTAGGAGAATTTAAAATTATGTACTTCAAGAAGAATATATACTCTTAGATTTTTAAATTGTTAACTGTGTGTGTGCTCAGAAAGTGTAAACTCTTGCTACAATAAAAATCTAGTGGCTACAGATTTGGAAGGGTCTGCATGGCAGGAGCAGAAAGACCAAGTTCCTTCCCCGGTCTGAGTGGTCAAGATCCCAAGGCCCGACTCCGGGCCCTAAGGCCAAAGAAGTGCTCCAAGGCGGGATGGAGACAAAGCAGCTGATGAGCTCTGAGTGGACAGGAAACGAGGAGCAGACACTGAAGCAACAGCAAACGAAACAACGTTTATTGTGTGGAAGAGGCAGATGACGACAGGGAGAGCAGGGCATATTTTATTATGAAATATTTCAAACATACAGAAAAGTCTAAAAAAAACCTTCTGTACCCAGCAACTAGATTTTTCTGGTATTAACATGCAGCCATATTTCCCTCAGTACCTTTAAGTCATAAAAAGATATATAGAGTAGAAAGCCCCTGTGTATCTCTTTCTGATATTCCCATGAATTTGGTATGAAGCCTTTACACAAGAGTCATTTATTTGACAGAAAGAACTTAGAGGAAAAAAAATAAAACTACCTAACAGAAAAGTGGTACGCAAACAAAAATGGAAGCATAAAAGGTCATTAAAGAAAAAGTTTCCAGTAAACAAAAACATAAGATGCTGTACTTTCTCTCCTAATTCTAGCCTTCGCTGTTCCTTTCTCTTAAGTGTTTATCTCCAAGAGAAACTGTCTCTGAAAGAGAAAAATCACCTATCATCGTGCTTTATATAAAAAACACAATCACTATGGTTCTTAATTTCTATCTTAAGTACAAGCAAACCAAATATTCACTTTAACTGAAATTACACATTTAACTGTCAGTTAAAAAAATTCACTACCACAACAGCGCAATATGTTCATTATAGCTGCTTGTACTCCCCTTCACAAACATAATATAGCTATTCGCACTTTCCTTCAAATTATAAACTTGAAGTTATAAACTTATAAACTCCAAGTTATATAAACTTGTGTGTTGAAGTACTTATTTATCACTTCGGAGCCACAGATTACAGAGTTTATGTTCTCATCACCACAGTACTCCTCATTTAGCATTTTACAATTATTAACAAATTAAAATACATTTCTCCAGAGATGATGAAACACTTAAATTTTAAAGACATCTCTAGGAAGAATAACTTAAAGGAGTTAATATTCAACGACATTTTCACCACAATGAAGGAAGTATGCTTCAACAACCATGTATGCAATTTTTTCTAATAATACAACCCCTTAGATTTGTGGCCTTCAGAATTGATCTAATTTAAAAAGCTACTGTAGCACAGCATATAGGTAAGCATCAAGGGGCAGCAGAGAACTCAGCTTTGAGTAGTAAGACCTAGTTTCCAGTCTGTGGGTGTGATTCTGTACAGCCATTTAACCTCTGTGAGCCCCAGCTTCCTCATCTATAAAACAGGATCTTTTCTAGGGTATCGTGAAGATTAAATAGGTGACTAGATATAAAAGTGCTTTTTAAATAATGCAATACCCACATACAAGGTAGTATGCTGTATTCAAATATAGACAAAATATGTATTTATTCCCACAGTAGGGGAAAAGCCAGTTCAACTACTATGCTTTAAATCAAGTATTTTTTTTTAAAGTAATGTCTTCAATCTATCTAGAAACAATAGAAAACACAGGCTTGGGCCGGCCCCGTGGCTTAGCGGTTAAGTGAGCGCGCTCCACTGCTGGCGGCCCGGGTTCGGATCCCGGGCTCGCACCGACGCACCGCTTCTCTGGCCATGCTGAGGCCGCGTCCCACATACAGCAACTAGAAGGATGTGCAGCTATGACACACAACTATCTACTGGGGCTTTGGGGGGAAAAAATAAATAAAAAAAAAAAAAGAAAACACAGGCTTCATCTTGTGTGTGTAAGTACTCTTGATATCCTTATGGAAAAAGCCTATTACACAGAGAAAAAGATAAAAGCACATACATGTCAATCAACTTGATCAAAAATATGATTTGACACTAGGACTAAATTCCACAAGTTCATGTCATTGCATGTTTCTTAATCTATGAAATTAAAGTTATCATTAAATTTAAGATTTTAAACTCAGATACACAAAACAGCAGTCAGTATTAAAACAATGTATTAGAAAGGACTGAAAGTTGTAATTGCAATTGTTAAGTCAGCATTTATTAAAGATAAACCAAAACTTGTAAAGGAAACAAATCACAAGAATCAAAACTGTTGATCTTGCATTAATGACATTTAGTTTAGAATTGCGCTGTAGTATCTTAGCAACAGAAACAAAACAATGGTACATTACCACATGGAGAGTATGTTTGAACACAGTAGGTCCCTACTTGCGAGTTACCAGGCCCAGATAGAGCAGTACCACCTCGTGAGCTATTTGCAAACAGTCTGATTTATAAAACGCACTTGAGCCAACACGAGTGCATGTATTAAGTAAATCAAAGATCCTTTGCTTTTGGCTGGAATTATACCAACTCAACAGGGTAAGGAGGACAGTTTCATTTTTATAAGAAATTCTACTTGGCTATTGATCATAAAGCAATTTCCATGGGCTATCTTAGAACAAAACCGTAAAAACCAGGGGAACCTCCGTTTAAAACTCACCAATACGGTCTTTAACCACTAAATACCACTTGAACCACCACAGCCAAGAGGAGAGAACGTTTTGTTTTGAAATGAAATATACTATCAGGGCAGCCTATTTACATTCTTGGCCCTTTAGAGCTTCTTCACAGAAAGTGCTAAACGTTTTTAGAGCGATGTGCACAAGTGAGAGTTAATTTTACTTCCAGACACAAAGGATATGAGGCAAAGCTTTACCTCACAACAATTTTTACAAGTCCCTCCACATCAATAACATGAACCTTCTCAAAATTAAACAGTAAGGAAAGGTGACTGCAACCTCCACACCCCTGGGCCCAGTTCCGATAGCAGTGTCAAAGGAAGGTTATCAAATAAAACTTAGGAAGACAGCAAAAACATTACAACCAGATCATGAGATGACAAAATAAAGAACAGCCTCACAACATGTTGCACCCCATCAGCTCCACCTTGATAACATGACTGGAGGTGTCCTATTGGTGGTTACCACAGTGGCAAAACCATCCAATTTAACTTAACTTTTTAACAACTTTTTCATTTCAATAAATTTATTTTGATTGGTTGGATTGTTTAAGAGGAAGAGGAGAATCTGTTCATGTTTTTCAACCTATGGGTGAAAAAGAAATAGTATTATTTCATTTCTAAAAGTGTTGGGAGTATAATTTTACTTAAAGGAAATTTTACCCACTTGTTTCTGTAACTCTGGGCAGCAGTAATTCATCCTGTATGTTTTCTCTAAAGGCAAATACAAAAAGCCATTAGATAACATACACTATAAATAACAAAAAAACTTGGAGTCTGAACACATACAGATCTGTCTCCCCAGGCATGAGTCCCAACTACAAAGGACTTGATCATCTGGGCTTTAATGTAATCTACTACTGTGTCCTGGGGTTTGCCAAATTAATACCCTCATCTGCCCGAGTTCAGGTCTTTTGCCTATCATATATCATATAGGAGAATATTTCTTTTTAGCTGAGAGCAGGTCTGCCAAATAATCATCTTATGAAATATCAGTAAGATCAAATCCCAAAAATATGAGTTCTTCTCACTTTGATCAGGATCAAAAGTAAGTTGGGGGGCCAGCCTGGTGGCAGAGTGGTTAAGTGCGCACACTCCACTTCGGCAGCCCGGGGTTCGCAGGTTCGGATCCTGGGTGCACACCGATGCACCGCTTGTCAAGCCATGCTGTAGTGGCATCCCATGTAAAGCAGAGGAAGATGAGCACGGATGATAGCCCAGGGCCAATCTTCCTCAGCAAAAAAGAGGAGGATTGGCATCGGACGTTACCTCAGGGCTAATCTTCGTCACAAAAAAAAAAAAAAGGAAGTTGGAAGTACCTCTGAATGCTGGATATTTCTCAAGTTCTCAGCATCAATTCTATCATCAGTGTTGCTGAGCCTGATCTAAGGAAAATCTGGACTAAAAGGCCTGCTCCCATCCAGGCGGTTCCTCTGAGGTGGCAACATGAATCAGCTCCCTGCCACTGGATTTATAAAAGGAAGAGGACAAAGGGAATGTGGCCAGAGAGGAAGTACAGAGTAGCTCACCTAAATTGATTACATCTGTTATTAGTTAAATTTGAAAAAGTATACCTTTATTTAAAGCACTTTGCTTTTTAGATGTCATGTTTTTTGCCACACCACACATCACCAGCCTATCAGCTATCCTGGCGGTACCATTCTCAGAACATTTCTCAACCGACACTGTATGGACATTCTTGACAATTCCTTTTACAGAAAGCATTACATTCTGATTCAACATGAAATTTTTTAGTAGTTCTATTATTAATTGAGAGCAGCTTCCATTCAATTCCATTAGTCCTGGAAAAAAATTGAGTATTAATCTTTGAGTCCCTTATAAAAATAAAATATTTAGACACATTATCTAAGGCTAAAGAGCAAAAGGCTCACTTATTTTAGCTGGGTTTAGGCATGCTTTGATGTACTACTGCTGTTGCATTCAAAAAAATCAACCTTATGCAATAAATATTCGTTGATCCTCATTATGTGTCAAGCACTAATCTAGGTCTAGAGGGCACAAAACAGACAAACGTCTGGCATTCTGGACATTACGTCCTAAAGGGAGAAGCAAAGAATAATGGAGATAATTTTCCAACTCTCTCTCCAAGTCACAACCAAAGCAGGACCGGCCCCGTGGCTTAGCTTGGTTAAGCGCGCGCGCTCCGCTACTGGCAGCCCGGGGTTCGGATCCCAGGCGTGCACTGACGCACCGCTTCTCCGGCCATGCTGAGGCCGCATCCCACGTACAGCAACTAGAAGGATGTGCAGCTGTGACATACAACTATCTACTGGGGCTTTGGGGAAAAAAACAACGAGGAGGATTGGCAATTGATGTTAGCTCAGAGCCGGTCTTCCTCAGCAAAAAGAGGAGGATTGGCAGGATGCTAGCTCAGGGCTGATCTTCCTCACAAAACAAACAAACAAAACAAAAAACAAAGCAGACTACGAGGCAATCAGTGTGCTATTATCTGCAGGGACCTCTGGGTAAAGAAATCAGGAGTCAGAGTAAAAAGCTGCTTTGGCATTTTAGTTCACTTTATTCAAATTCCAAATGAAGGGCTGAATATATGCAGACATAGCACACACAGTAAGGTAGCCCAAAATGGTGGCATCTGAATGTTTCTAGTCTCTGAAGAGCAGAATACGAGAAGAGGTCAGATGGCCCCAGTTCATCCTGGCCCTGCCACCTACTAGCTTTGCAAAGTGGGGCAAAACAGAATCTCTGAACCTTGATGCTCTGAAACTAATCTGTAAAACAAAGATGGAATATAGTGTTTGTGAGAATGAAATAAAGAATAAAAGATAAGACATTTCTTTGTAAACTCTGCTTGATCTGTAGAAATCTGGACAGTTACTTGAAATACCCATTTGATTCAGACTTAGAGCTATAAAACAAACAGAAAATAATCGCACAGACATCCCAATTGGAAAGTGACTTAATTGCTTGCCTTCAAGCGAACATTTAATAACTTGGAAAGGAAGCTCCAGGTGGCTGGCGGAGATTGGCTGCACTCTGGAAAGAGGCAGAGTTTCAATGTTTCCATAGTCTGCATAGAGCACTTTCACATCCGTATCTGAAGTCCCCAGAACAATGGCTCGGTACCAAAAATCATCATCTGAAAATATGATGGAACCTCAGGTAACAAGCTACATTCAACAACCCCCTCCCTCCCTTACGATGGTTATTCACAGATACATTTACATCACTTAGAAATTCACACCAAGCTTTCTGGTTAGAGTCCAGGTTAAATATAAACATCTCTACTCCTTCCAGATCCTACTAAAAAGACAATTACAGGATTAAAAAGAAAAAGGCATAAAACCACAAGGACAGAGAACAAGAGCGAAGATAGTATAGTGGCGGAAGCTGGAAAGCAGATGCATGAGTGGAAATGATTTAGCAGAGCTCAACCGAAGCTGGTAGCGGGGAAGCAAAGAAGCACCCCAGTTTGCATCTCAAACCCCCAAGGCTTAATAATTGCTGCTACTCCTTCAAAAGCAGGAGTGAAGATGGAGCTGAAAATGACAACTGGGTGAAGGAAGCAGAGTTACTTCCCAAGACATCTGAGCAGACTTCATTTATAAACACACTTACACGTAATACTTATTTTTCAAGTTGCAAAAGAGAATGATCAGTTTTACATTCACTTGTTTTAATGAAGCTTAGAACACCCTTCCCCTTTCCAAGAAACTGCTCCTACCCAAGGGCAGAAGACTAGAGGTTTCTTCTCCAGAGAGGATAAACCAGAGACTGTGGACTAGGGAACCTGAGGCAGAGCAGAGGAGGAAGTTTACCAAGAACACTGTCAGGCAAGCTATGCACTCCAGGCAGGAGACAACCATCTCAAGGGAAAGCACTTCAAGATACCAACATCAGGATTCCCTGGTGAAATAGCAGAGCCAGACCACCCCACAGTGATGGCCACCAGTGACAAGCTCTGCCTAGGCACAAAGAAACTTTCAATTAACTTCTTAGTGCCCCATCTTAAATAAGTGAACAGCAAAGGATCACCCGATACTTAAATGAAGAAAGTCTCTACTATGAAAGAGAAGACCAAAACAAATAGGAACTCAAAGAAACAGAGACAAAGGAGGGAGAAGACAATGAAAACTAAAAGAATGATATTAACATCCTTGGAGAAATGACCTTCCACACTTGAAACAAGAACAAGACGGTACTAAAAACATACGCTTGAGAAAAACAAAAAAGCTATTGAAACTAAAAATGTGATATCAGAAATTAAGTACTCAATAAGAAAAGAAGAAAGATAAAATTGAGGAAATCTCTTGAAAGAGAAAAGAGGAAATTTAGCAGAAAAGTTCAAGTCCAACAGTAGACTACTTCGAGTTCGAAAAAAACAGAAAATGAAAGAAAGGAATAATAGAATTCAGGAAAATTTCTCAAAACTGAAGCTTATGAATTTCTCGACTTAAGGGCCCACCAAAATGAAAAGAAAACCAATATAAGTCACAACATAAACTTCAAAACATGGGATGAAGAGATTGCTAAAAGTTCTAGAAAAGAAAACAAAATATATACAAAGTTTGGAGAATCTGAATGACATCTATCTCTTGACCAGCCACACCAACAGCTAAAAGATAAGAAAAACAATCCCTTCAAAATTTTAAGAGAAAGATGATTTCCAACCTAGAATTCTATATCCAGGCAAGCTATCAATTGCTAAAATGAACTATTAGGGTAAGAATAAAGACTTTTTCAAACAACGGAGATAACAGAAAATTTATCTTACATGTATCTTTTCTCAGCCTCTGGAGGATGGGATATACCCAAATACTAGAGTAAATTAGATGTAAGGGATCCAGAAAACACAGTGAGACGACAGAGGGAGAAATCTAGCCAACAAGGTGGGGTGGGAGAGAAATCCAAGAAACAAAGGAGGATGGTGTTGAAACAATCCCCAGCACGATGGTGAAGGAAAAATTCCAGGGTGACAGCTCAGGTCTGGAGGATAAGCAGCCTAGATAGCAGGTCAGAAGGCTGAAGATGCCTCCAACATGATAAAAGCTGATCAAGTACATCAAGTGTTCACTGAAAGAACTTACATTAATGCAGAGAACTAGAGATAATTAGTGAAAGTATACAGAACACTAATAACAACAAAAAAGGCTGCAAAAGAGAAATGTAATCATAGTACACCATGTGGCTAGGCTGTGAATAGTGTTTATGCAATCCTAATAAAGTAATACAGAATATTTATGTAACCAAAAATAATGACATATTTCTATTGGGAAGAAAGGGAGGGAAAGTGTTGATTCAGCTGTCATTCAAAAGAAAAATAAAACTAAATATATTACATTCTAAAATTGTAAGTCTCAATTTAAAAATGAACACTATTTGGGCAACACACCAAAAGCATTTTAAATCCATTGTTAGCAAGGGGATGATGACACTGGCCTGCTCACAAACTTTTGGCACATATGGACATTTCTTTAAGATACCTAGAGAGCAATATGCTTCCAGAACCTACAAAACAATTTACATCCTTTGACTCAGAAACGCTATCTCTGAAAATTCCTCTCAAAGTATTTATAGTTACCAAATTTCTGCTCAAGAATATTCACTGCTAGTGTTATACATGTTAACAAAAGAAATTTGTTAACATGAAATATTAAACAATAGGAGAATGATTAATGTATACCTTGATTCAGTGGGTCTTGCTCCGAGGCATTTTATTCTTGAAGTACATTCACCAAGTTTTATAAATTATTTATAATCCATCCATATATAAAAATAATGTTATTGATCCACCCTACAGAATATGGTTATCTAGAGCTGGTTATCTAGAAGTACTGACAGATTTGTAGATTTGTACACATATCCTTGCCTAAATATAATCGATGGCTACAGAACAGAAAAGTCAAGTGACCCCAATATGAGTTAAACCCATGACTTTGTCTTTCTTAATTTCTCTATCTAACCAAACGAAATATGCATCTAAAACAACAAAATCCACATAACCTCATGTAAAAGAGAACAGACAAAATCTTTTCCCTTTAATATTTTACCTAAAAGAATCTTACTTGTGTATTTGGCACAGCACGCATCTCCAATTCTTGGCCTGTAAGACGATTGACTTTTCTGAGCATTGCAATATTCTAACAATTCAGCTGTCAATATACACAGTTTTTCCTGATCTTCTAAAATATATAGAAAGCAATCTTTTGTGAAGAAATTTTCAATGCTATTATTTAAACAATATACAAAAGAATGTCAAAAATAATCACTCAAACCCATGTGTATTAAAATATACATTTATATTTAAAAAAAATAAAATAAAACCACTACTGGTTACCTTGTGCCAAAGGGATACAATACTGGGAGGGAGCAACAAGGAAGCCTCTGGTGGGCTGATTTCTTGACCGAGGTGGTTATACTAGTGTGTTCACTCTATGAAAACTTATTAAGCTGTATTTTTACAATTGTTCAGTGTACTTTTCAGCAAGTGTGTTATAGCTAATAAAATAATACAAAGTACTTCTGATTTATCATACCATACGTTATTGTCAGGATTGAATAATCCTAAACCCGTTTTCTACTATATAGATTAAAGATGATTATTTGTAATATTGGAGATAAATTTAAGAGCAGTTATTGGTATCACCACAATTCCAGGTTTGACAATTTGAAACAAAATCATTTTTTCAGCCTTAACGTATCTGCAGATTATTTTTAGTAGACACTACCCAACTTGAACTAACTCTGGTATTGTAAGGATAAACTCAAATACATTGAAGAAATGCCTTAGTTGTAAACTTCTGTGAAACAAAAAAGGAAAACATTTATATACTACTCTTCTTCATGATTAGATCCCATGTAAAACATTTCTCTAAGTTTCTAAGATACAGTAACACTATGACTGTACACCGATTACTAAGTACTCTTGCATTATATCTAAAACGGTTTTGGTTCAAATTTTCTTAAATGGTCGTAGAAGTTTAGCTTAGTAAAATGCAATTCAATATAGATGGTATAGATTTTTAAACAAGAAATTACACAGTAATTAAGGACACTGTTTTGTTATAAAAAGCAGTAGATTATCAAGGCCAGGTTGAGCAGGTGCTGAATGCAGGGCATTCTCCTCATGTTCAGATTTTTGTTTTTATAAGTAAATGTGCCTTAAATGTTATTATGATCAATTCTTCCTTAAAACATTGAATGAAACAAAAATCATTTTTTTTCTCATTTCCTAAGGAGTTCAGATAAGCACTTTCATTATACTGTTAAAAAATCAGCATAAACAGGTCTCAAATTTTGGTTTCTTACCAGGCATCTCACTTGGTAGAGCATAAAATAAGTTCAGGGTTATGATTTCTAATACGCTTGCTTGTACAGTTTTATTAACTGGCAATTCTATCGTCCTCCACTGTTCAGCTGAAGAGATGGCTGAAAACATACAAAACACAGGTCTTGCATAAAATAAATCAAATTTAGTACTCTTTCCCAGTAATATATTTATTCACCAACCGCTTATTATCAACATTCACAAATTGAAAATGCGTATTTTCACAAAACAATCTATTCAATTTGAGGGATTTTGTGGCATTCCAAAAAGTCCAATCTATAATGAGAATCCTTGAACGAACTACAGCACTCCTGTGGTATATTTCCATTTCTGTAGTATATTTAATATAATTCTTAAAATTTATTCAAACTTTAAGGGATACAGAGCTGTATGATGCAAGTTGACCTGATAAGTAACTACGTTAAAAATGAGTACAGTGTTCATTTAATAAAACTATCATGTTTCAACAAATTAATATTAAATTAACTTTAATAACGTATTACTAATCTATTTCCACAAAGCATATTTCTACAGGACAATTGTGTCATTTAGGATAGAAAAATTTTCATAGCCTACAAAAGCAAAGGATAACATGAATTTAAATAACAAGCAAATGGTTTAAAAATGTTACCTTGTTGCCCCGGGGCCTCAATTTGAAGATCCTGTTTGTTAACAGGTCTGTTATTTGCCAAGTCTTTACATGGTGAGCTAGCTTTTAAAACCAGATGTTCATCAATCAGAACGTCACCAATTATTCTGGGATAACAAGTGGAAAGATCAGTGAGTTCAACTCCCACTCCATTTTCAGTGATGTCAACCACCCGGGCTTGGAGTTTTATCCCCGCAACACACATCTGAAATCTGGCAATGGCTTCTTTAGTCCAGTGTTTGTTTCCAGGCTGTATATCTGGCAAATAAAAACAGCATTAAAAAGAATTCTGTGCCCAAGCTGCATTTCTGCTTCAATAGTATTCAGGACTGGGTCCTTACCGAGTTTACCACTCAGGTCAGCAATGTTGAGTATCTTTTTCAATATTCAATTATCTATCTACATCCTCCACGCCCGAGTTACAGACAGTGCATTTGCAAATATACTACTAGGGTTTTAGGAGGCTCAGGACCTTTCCTTGCTTTCCCCACGAACGTATCTTCATCTGGCATTTTTCCAAAAGGCAAAAATAGGATTATTACTTCTTTTAGAAGCCACCATTGTGTTCTGTTACATACACAATGATGAGTTATCAATTATGCCGGTAAAAGATGTCAACCATACACTTTCACTTTAGTGGACAGTTTTCTAATGATAATTTCAAAGTGTCATTTTAAATTACTTAACCAAAAATTATTTTCTCTTGGATAATTTCACCTTATACCTTTATTTTCATAACAGTGATTCTCAAACTTGAGTGTCCATCTGAATTACTCAGAAGGCTTGTTAAAACAGATTTCAGGGTCCCACCCTAGAGTTTCCAATCTAGTAGTAGGTCTTGTGTGGGGACTGAGATTCTGCATTTTTAACAGGTTCTCATGTTGATGCTGCCGGTTTGGGGGCCACATTTTAAGAAGCACTGACATAAAACATGGCAATTAAAAACAATAATCTGAAACATACTTAGTGTAAAATAAGTAGAAAGAAAACAGGCAAAAAAAAAAAATGAAAAGTATCTATGCTTCCAGACACAATCACTACTAACATTTTGGCAGCCTACCTTCCACAATTTTCATGTGCATGTGGAAATACACACATACATGTGGAAATGCACGTACATACTCATTTCTTTCATAAAGAAATTTTTATAATAGTAATAGCTATTATGTGTATAATGCCAGGCACTGTTAAATGTTTTATATATTTTTTTATGTCTTTTATTCTTAACAACTCTTGGAGGAAGGTACTATTATTTTCCAGATGAGAAAATGGAACCACAGAGAGTTTAATTAATTTGCCTAAGGTCTTACAGCTAGTAGGTAGCAGAGGTGGTTCTAGAGTCTGTCCTCTTAATCACAGTGCTATCCTGTATCCCTTATAACTTGCTTTCTTCACTTAAATCATAACAATTCTTCATTAACACATATTTAACATCATTTTAATGAACTGTGTAACAGCAGACACTTAAGTAGAACTTTCTGAGTACCAGGCCCTGTTCTAAACCTTCATTTAATCCTCACAACAACCCTATAAAAATGGGTACTACCATTATCCATTACACGGATCATTATTTAATCAATCCTCTATTATTGGCTATTAAGGTTGTTTTGCTATTATTAACAGCAGTGTAATCAACTTCCTTGTATGTGAACTCTGTGAAATTCCAAGATCATTTCTTTGGGATAAATTACTAGAAGCAAAATTGCTAAGACAAAAGGTAGGAACATTTGAGGCTCTTAGGAATCCTCCAAGATGCCTTCCAGAGAACACATTGGTTTTCACTCCCATCATAAGTATAGAAAAACAGCTGCCTCCCTCCTTTGACATCAACACTGGAGATTTTGGCCATATCTTTAAAAATATTTCCCTAAATTTTATACTATGAAGCAGGATCTTCTAACTTACACAAAATATTAAAGATATTAATACTTAGAAGTTTATTAAGTATTAGAAGACAGTTGAGAAAACTTCTTATTCTGCACCATACCTACTAACCAGCACCGTATCCCTTGAAATGCAAGTTTTAAAAATGTTGATGGGATCATTTGGAGCTCGTCTGCAGTAACTTCTTCACTGTTTCCATAATCCACAAAGTGTACTTGAATGTTTCCATTTGGTAAGATTTCCTTGACTAAAGCACGATACCAACTACCATCACCTAGATTTAACACAAAGTTTGTAACATGGAATATTTCCCTTGTATTAATATTTGTAATTTATCTTGAAAAAGACATCCTTTGTGTAAAGTAGCTAATAAATTTGCCCTCTTCACCAGATGATGCCTTTAGTTTTTCATTCAGAAATCCCTCGGGCCAGCCCCCTGGCTTAGCGGTTAAGTGCGTGCACTCCGCTCCTGGCGGCCTCGGTTTGGATCCCGGGTGTGCACCGACGCACCACTTCTCTGGCCATGCTGGGGCTGCGCCCCACATACAGCAACTAGAAGAATGTGCAGCTATGACATGCAGCTATCTACTGGGGCTTTGGGGGAAAAATAAATAAAATTATAAAAAAAAAAAAAATTAATCCCTCACAGAAATCTCAAAATCCATTTTTAGAATATCTACAAATTTTTTGTAGCATCACACTTTTACATCTGATATAAATTAAAGATTTCATTCATAACCTACCCAATAAACAGAATGTGAAGGTAAGACTTAATAAACTAGAACATATTTGTCAGTCTGGAGGACTTATAATACTCTCACCGCTAACAGCAGATTGTTTTGTTACTTGGTAAAATAATATAAAAAATAAACAGTAAAAAAAACTTGCAACAAAATTAAAGTCTTTCATCAAATATATTTTCAAAATAAATATGCACAGGCTGACCAGAAGAAACTATGAATCAGCAGTGAACAGGTCTTCCATTATCTAACTTATTTTAATATTATCAGAAATTCTGGAAAGAAAAGTATTTAACAAATTTAACAAAGTTTAGGTGAGAAAGTATCACTTGGAGGTACCTTGTTACAAAGAGAAGAAAAAACATATCTTTTTTGTGTGTATGAGGAAGATCAGCCCTGAGCTAACATCCATGCCAATCCTCCTCTTTTTGCTGAGGGAGACTGGCCCTGGGCTAACATCTGTGCCCATCTTCCTCCACTTTATATGGGAGGCAGCCACAGCATGGCTTGACAAGCGGTGCCTTGGTGCGCTCCCAGTCTCAGAACCCAGGCCGCCAGCAGTGGAGCGCACACACTTAACCGCTACGCCACCAGGCCAGCCCCCAAAAAACATATCTTAAGCATTCATTTAATCTCCATTGTGAAAAATATTTGCTTAAACATCAGGAAAAGAATACACATTAAAAATATTTGAAATAGGGCCGGCCCCGTGGCTTAGTGGTTAAGTGCGCGCACTCCGCTGCTGGCGGCCTGGGTTCGGATCCCGGGCGCGCACCGACGCACCGCTTCTCCGGCCATGCTGAGGCCGTGTCCCACATACCGCAACTGGAAGGATGTGCAGCTATGACATACAACTATCTACTGGGGCTTTGGGGGAAAATAAATAAATAAATAAAATCTTTAAAAAAAAAATATTTGAAATATCTAATGCATATTTGAAAGTTACTAAGACAAAAGACCTTAAAAGGCCTCATCACAAGAAAAAAAAATCTGTAGCTATATATTATGACGGATGTTAACTAGACATTAAAAAAACAAGGGTTGAATGCCAAGAAACAAAAGGTTCTAATAAAGTCAAGATTGCACCAACTGCAACTTACCTGCAAAAAAAGCACAACAAGGTTGCCCTATTTCTGCCTTAAAATCATTAGGCAACTTCTGCTGGCAATATTCTGCTAGTGATTTATTCAAATCATTGAGTTTCTCTAAAGCTGAAAATACAATGCACATAGAGCATTTAATATTTAAAAAAACATGCAGAATATAGATTTTCTTTTAAAGTTGGAAAATGTTTTGATCACAAAATCTCAGGTACATCCCCCAAACAACTATTAAGTACACCAAATGCTTTTTCCCTTTTCCTTATTAAAAACTTAATTGGGCAAATAAGTCATTTAGTTAATGCTTTCCGTGAACTCCATACGAACAATCTACTGGGCACAGGGACAGGACAATGGCATTGTTATCAGTGTCCTAGAGCATGAGTTCTGCACGGGGACAAGGAAACAATGTACAAGCCTATACTGAAAGAGGGTTACATACAAGCTGCCCTGAAGGAGTATATATAATCACTAACTGGATGGCACAGATAACGTCTGCTAAAGAAATACAGGGAGGTGAGCTCTGTGCTCACCAAAGGTTTCATAGAGAAATTTGAAGTATGACACATTTGATAGAAAAGAAGAGGGTATTCCACAAGGAAGAAATGGCTCTGAGGCAAAGTATAGAATTACAAATTAAGCAGCCAAAAAACAGTTGGCGGGAGCCCTTTGGCAAAGCGGAGAAGTGGAAAGGTGAACCACCGAAGAAGAACACCAGAGATGTGCCTGGAAACAGACAGACCACGGAGAGCTTTAAAATGCCAAGTAAAGGGATCTGAACACAACAGAAGTAAAAGAAAAACAAATGTCTTTTAAATATGTGACAAAGGTCCATTCACAGAAATGGAAATACAACGAGTTAGAATTTTCACCTTTCAGATTAGCCAAAATAAAAAAAGTTTAAGGACACACTATTAGAAACGGTGTGGGAAAAGGCCCTCTCATAACTGCTGGTGGGAATTAGCTTGGCCAACCTCCTGAAGAGCACTATCTCTCAAAAATATAAGCACACATATCCTTTGACTTAATAAATACAGTTTTGGGAATTCGTCCCAAGGATATACTCTCAAAATGAAAGCACACAGTACAAAGCATTGTTCTAGCAATAAAAGGCTGGAAACGTGAATCCTTTATTTGTCCACATTTAGGTTAATTAAACTAGGATAAACCCACACAGCGGAATACCATTTAACCACAAAAAATAACGGAGACTAAACAGCAAGGTGGTATCCTAGACTGGATCCTGGAATAGAAAAGGGACATCAGTGGAAGTGGAAAAGGACATCTAATGAAATACAAATAAAATCTGGAGCTTAGTTCAGAGAAATGTACCAGTGTTCGTCTCTTTGTTGTAACAAACGTACCAAAATTATGTAAGATGTTAACTACAGAGGAAGCTACGTGAGGGGTATACAGGAACTTTCTGCAGCACTTTTGCAACTTTTCTGTAAATCTAAAATTAGTCCGAATTAAAAACTGTATTAAAAAAATGGAAAAAACACTATGTGATTCGATACCCACGATATAGTGGGATAAAAAAGCAAAGTGCAAAAATTACTTCTAGTATTTTCCCATTTATGCATTCATAAAAAGGACTATATATATTCATACAAGCATGCGTATAGAGTACCTCTGAAAAGATATTTAGAAAATTGAGAAGAGGAACTGGGAAACTTACTTTCCACTATATATACTTTTGTAACTTTTAAATTTTGTACCATGTGCTTGTGTAATCACCTATGAAAATAAATAAAATTTTTGAATTTTATCCTTTATAACATAGTGGCCTACCAGATGATTCTGAATGAAGGGATGACAAATCTCACAAATTGGAAATCAGATACGGTCTTATCTAGTTCAATGTCCTCATTTGGCAGAGAAAACCAAGATTCAGAAAAACTTAAAATCAATGATGCTCACCAGAATGGCTCAAATGAAAAAGACAGAAAATAAAAAGTGTTTGTGAGGATGTGGAGTAACTAGAACTCTTAAACTGTTGTCTTAAACTGACAACTGTCATAATCACTTTGGAAATCTTTTGGCATTCATTGATCAAAGCTGAAAATATACACATTCTTTAAAGTATGGCCAGTAATTTAATTCCTATGAATATATTCAACGGAAACGCATGCTCATGTGCACTAAATTTGTAAGAGAATGTTCATACCAACATTATTTTACAGCTCAGAACTAGAAACAACCCAAACGTGCAACAGTAGAAAGGATAATAAATTGTAGTACATTCATACAATGGAACACAATGCAGCAACGAAAAACCAGCTACAGCTACATGTGAAAATGCTGGCCCAATCTCACAATGTGAAAAAAAGCAGCAAGGCACAGAAGAGTACACAGTGCATGATTCCATGTACATGAAGTTCAAAACCAGGAAAATCTAATCTATGCTATTACAAGGCAGGATAGTTATTTACTTTTGAAAGAGAGAAGGGGTAATGATCAGAGGAGACACGCAGGAAACTTCTGGGTTACTGGTAATGTTTTATTTCTTGACCTAGATGTTGGTTATACAGCTGTTCTGACTTTGGGATAATTTGTTATGCTGCAGCCCTATTTCTCCACTTATCATACATACGTTAAACTTCAATGAAATCAATATTAATTTTCAAAAATGAATTTAGGAGACATTCTGTGAAACCTAAACTGGTTTAAATATAAAGACAGATTGTTGAAAATAGAAATAATGGCTTAAAATGGAATAAAAGCCAACTAAGTGTAACCCAATCTTTCTTGGAAGTACAATACCCACTTGGCCTTTCCTGGAAAGAAAGTACTTTTATCACTCAGTAAACTCATTCTGAGTTATTATCGACACCAATGTATTTGCAAAAAGAAATAAATGAGAAGAATCAACTTACCATCCTCTTTAAGCACATGGCAATAAAATTCTCCAGGACTGTACATCATACAGACCACAACATCTACTGTTTGGTCAACAGCAAGTTCAACCCATGTCCATGCCAATGGATTTAGTTTTGCTTCTACACCTAAGGGAACTGTGAAAATAGATGAACATTTTGCAAAACAAACGGCCAGAGTGGGGGTGGAAGGTGGGGTTGCTGAGGAATCTGCTTTTGAAGAAGAACTAAATTTTCAATGATTTTCTTAGTGACTTTATACGAAAGTTAATCATTTCCTTTACAGGAAAATTAACCATTGCTATCTCACTGAATTTCAAATTTCTAATTCACATTTCTGACCGATCTTCAGCTGTCAGTGACCCATAAAACTTCTGAGAAATTTTCAGTTCTCAGACACACTCTTAAATGTATTTAGATGAATGCCTGATTTACACAGATGACAGGTACTCACATCAAGTCTGCAAGTATGAGAACCCACACGTTCACAAAACCACCTCAACCCCAGCATGGACGTTATCTGGTAGATACTTTACTCACCACTGGCTTCTTTCCTGTCACTGGGTTTATCTGTCACTGCCCCCTTTTCCCCCACAGCGAAGCCTGTGCCTATGAGAACTTCAGCAACACTGATGTGAGGCGTCACGGATTTATCTATAAGCTCCACCAGGGAACTGTTTTCCAACTTGTCCACCACTTTCACTGTCATCATTTTGTTCTGTACAATTTTTTTCATCAGACAAATAGCTTCTGGAGTCCAAATTCCTAATGATGGCTTTACTCCTAACAGAATTTTTAAGAGAATGTTAAAATACTTCTTACAACAAGCATTTAGAAATTTACCTCCTAATTTCCACAAAGTTAAATTTAAGTAATCTATGACAAACACTGGAACCAAAAAGTTCCATCCAAGCAGAAGGATTTTCTAAACATGAAAATGAAAGCAAAATTACAAAGAAAAAGCCTGTAAAAATCTTCTATATTTCTATATAAGGAACCATAATTACATTGCTATGAAACATCCAGAAAAGCAAGTTTACAAAGACCAAGTAGATTATTGTTTGCCTGGGGAGCAGAGATTAACCATAAATGGGCACACAGGATCTCAATGGGGTGAGGGAAATGTTCTAAAACTGGATTATGGTGATGGTTGTACAACTCGGTAAATTTACTAAAAATCATTGAATCGTACACCTGACAGCGGAACTGGTGGTATGTAAATTCTATCTCAATCAAGTTAAGAAAATCATAAACAAGAGTATAAAACAATCCAGGAAGAAATACTGGTCCCTTACATTAATACATGAAACATCTGCAGCACAAAGGGCACTTAAAAGTCAGCAACCCCAAGGTTATGCCTGGTCAGTTCATAAAATTTAAGAGCCACGTAACGTACAAAACAATGTTTGGCCTCACTGGTAATGAGGCAAATTGAAATAACTTCATTTTTAGCTTATCAAAACTGGCCAAGATGAAATAATATAGAAATATCTATTTGATGCACCAATGTGTGAAGGAATTGACTACCTCCTACATTTCTGGTAGATGTATAAACTAGTTCAACCCCTTCTGGAGAATCATCACAATGTATCACAAACATGAAAAGCAGCATACCCATTGACACTTCCATTCCACCTAATGGACATGTTTTGCAAAATAACTACATTTTGCAACCTATCCTAAGGAAATGATCTTGGACAGGCTGCAAAATGTAATTAAAAGAACATTGCCAATAAATGGCAAAAACTTGGAAATATCTTTCTGATAACTGGATCCTAGTTAAATTATGGTACGTCTGAATAAAGACTGTAGAGGCCAATTTATTGACATGGAAATAAGCCCCTTTTGCTAATGGGACAAATTATATATATAGTGATTTCTAAGCATATGATCATAATGCTCTTATCGTTTTTATAAGCAGGTTTTCTCCAACTTCATGTAGTTAATAGGCATCTGTGATATTTATCAATAATGCAGGCTCTATAAGTAGCAAATAACACTTGATTCCATAACCACAGGTACATTAAATTTTATTTTATTACAGATAGTAATAAAATTACTGCGTATTTCCTAAATGTTCTACTAAGAATTATTTTGCACTAAGTTATGACTAAGCACATTCCTTTATCTTACCAGTAGTTTAATTTCAATTTGAATGCTCCTACTTTAGGTTTTGGTATTTTACGAATATGGGGAGCATAAAAATTTCTTACCTGCCAGCACACACTTTATAGCTTGCATTGGCAATTCCAACAACTTTGGAGTTATGGGACAAAGTCTTGTCAAACTCAGGATTTCAAAGTTTCCATAATCCACATATCCAACCAGTACAGACTCTTCAGAAGCATAAGCCAAAATAGAGGCACGGTACCACTGATCATCCTCTGAAAAACGGAGAGAGGCTCTAATGATTTTCCAACGCAGATATAAACAAAAACTCTTCCTCCCAAATTTAGAGATGATCATTTGTAGATCTTATTTTAATATAATATCAAGCTTTACTGAACAATGAATGCTTATTCAGCATTGCTACTTTTGCTTAACAGAAGCCTTGAACTCCTAAATGTCACCTTTATTCATACCTTACTGGACTACTAACGCAGTAAGCTGTCATTTATTTACATGCCTTGTCTCCCCAGTAGACAGTTAGCTCATCAGCACAGAGAACATGTCCTGGCCATGTGAATCCACAAGGTTTTGATCAACATATGAACCATTTGTTAAGGCATCAAGCAGGGCTAATTTTAGAATATCTGGCAGTATGAGTTAACCAGATTCCACCAACCAAGCAATCGATTTACTGGAGGCCTACTTGCATCTCCTCTTCTGTGAGGCCACTGGACCTCCCTTCAGCAGAGAATAACAACCCAGTTATCAAAGGCAAGACCTGTGGGGCTACAGAGGCTGTGCCATGACAGCTCTGTGCTTCCATGCCCTCTTGCTATTTATTCCAAAGAAAACTGGTGAAGACATGACCCTGGGAGATTCCACATTCGCATAACGATGTAAACAGAATTATCTGCACCAGTCTCCAAAAGACTACAGGGCTGATAAAAACAATAAAAACTTCCTTTACCATCCGCCCCACCTCCCTGACACTCACGGGCTCTCCTCCCTTACACACTGTGATTCAGTTTAATTGGACACATTTAAAAACATAATTGGTGCACTTAAATTACTCAAGTTTCAAATGCAGCCATCCAGTGCAAACTGAAGATTCTGTTGCATTTGTTTTTACTTAATTATAAGTAAAAAATGCAATAATACTCTCTTTCCTTACCTGAGAACTGAGCACAACAGATATCACCAATGGTTGGATAGAAATCCGAGCGTGGAGACACCTGACCACAGTACTCGCTAAGGGATGCCTGAAGTTCAGCAAGCTTATCTGTAGATATAGATCACATCTTAAACAAAAGAAATACAAATCTACACATTATTTTCATTTTTACATGCTGAGTCTCTTGAAGTATGTTATCTTGATGGCAAAAGTCAAGAAAATTTACTTACGTCCATTTTGTAGTTGTTGACAAAAGAAGTCTTCTGGAGTCTGAATGTGGGCAACCACACCGCAAAACTCATCCCCTACGTTCAAAGTTAACACTTTGGGGATTAGGTCACTTCTGTCCACAACGATTTTGTTTTCAGCTGTCATTTTTCCAACCTCTTCAGGATCACCTTATCAGAAAACAGAAAAATAAGCCGTTTTGGCTTCATTAATCCAATTTTTCAGTTTTTAGCCCCAACCATGCTCTCTCACACCTCTAGGCCTTAACACATGCTGTTCTTTTTTCCCGGAACACACCCCCAAACCCCCACCAAGCTGATTATCTCCTGCTCAGTGTGGTGTCACTTTGCAAAGGCTTCTCTCCAAGTCTGGGTGGAGGGCCCTACTCCCACCGCACCCGGCACTCCCTCCATCACACCGTTTTATAATCTCTTCTCTGAGTGTCTGCACTGCCCACCTCCACAGGACCTTAGTGAAGCAGATATTTCTCAGTGGATTCTTGTTCCTGCCACTGGATACCTCTGCAGCATCTGCTATTCCTGATGACTCCCTCCCAGAACCATTCATCCTGCTGTGGCTCATGCGACCTTTTCCCCATTCTCTTCTCACTTCTCCCATCACAGCTTCTCACTTGTTGGTGTAGGCCTCAGGTTTATCTCCCTCACTATTTTTCCTCACTCCACACTCTCCCTAAGACACCACCAACATTCACAGTTTCAACCATGACTATTAGACCAGTAAGAGTTTGGTTTTCTCCTCTAGATGGCAAAAAACTACTGAGAGCCTTTCAGCGGAGTTGTCACACCAAGATTCGTGTTTATGGATATCATATAGGCAGTACTGTAAGAATAGAGACAAGAGACAAAAGAATCAGAAGGTTGTGGCAATTATCCATGGATGATAAAGATTCCTGAACGAGAAAAATGGTAGAGAAAAAAAGGAAGGAAAAAAAAGACATATATAAAGGATATTTATGAAGAAGAATCAACAGACTAGGCAACCAATTAGGGCAAGGGATGGGAGGTGAAGGAGAAAGTAGATTTAAGGATAAGTCAAGTTTGTTTATGTGACAGGATGCGTCCAAACGGCACCATTAATCTGGCAATCAGGGCTGGCCCCGTGGCTTAGCGGTTAGGTGCATGTGCTATGCTGCTGGCGGCCCGGGTTCGGATCCTGGGTGCGCACCGACGCACCGCTTCTCTGGCCATGCTAAGGCCACGTCCCACATACAGCAACTAGAAGGATGTGCAGCTATGACATACAACTATCTACTGGGGCTTTGGGGGAGAAAATAAATAAATAAATAAAATCATAAAAAAAAAAAATACGGCCATCACCTCTGGTTGAATGAACAAGAGACAATGAAGAATGTCTACATCTAAAGTAATTGGTAAAGGAGAAAAGTAAAAGAGAAAGACTAGGAAAACCAACACATAAGACTAGCCAATGAGAAAATAAAAGGCTGATAATAAAACTTCTTGGTTCTCTTCTTAGACTAAGTGAAAAACCACACACACAATTAAACGAGAAATAAAAAACTTAAGAAGAAATACCATCCCACTAGAACAGAATGTTACAGCCCTATTTCTTACTGCTGGAATACCCAGTCAGGATGAAAAACAAACTAAACTAAGGAAATGTTAGCTAAAAATTCCTCAACCAAAAGGTCATGATATTTACTACTTTATAATCTCTGATAATTATCATGTCAAGGATTAACCTGGAAGACAGACACGGAAGGACAACAGGCAGGGAAGAGTGAGATTAGAAATAATATACTAGTAAACGAAAAAGTCTCATCTTTCTTACATAAAGTTTATAGAATGGTTATCATTTCCAGTAAGTTGGACAGTGTGACAGCCGTGCCTTCTTTGTTTAGTAGAGAAGATATTCTTCAATGACCACTCACTATTCTGTTCAAAGTTCATCTGTATACTCACATGGATCTGCACTTTGCTTCTTCGAGTTTTGTGCCTTGGGTTTCAAGCCATATCCCATTTCTACAAGCACGTGGTCTAAGAGTTTTCCTAAAAGTGATTAAGAAAATATATCTCCATTGAGATATTATACCAAGTATTAGAGTAAAAGCATAAATACAAATGAGTCATAATCATGATTTAGAGATTATAGCTATTAATACACTGGCATATTTCTAACCATTTCAGTTTCTATATGCAAAATATAGTTTATTAAGGCTCAGCTTTAAAAATTGAGGCAAAATTCCCATCATCACTGGACAGAAAATATTTCACTTCAAAATTCTGAATAACATGCAAGATTTAGTTACCACCTCACTGGCGTGCTTAGAATGACCACCATTTATGAGAAAAAATAAATTTAAGACACAAGAGTACTTTTTCTCAGACACAAAGTATGGCTGAAACAAGGGTTAACCAGCATCAACATAAACTTCAAGTTCCTGGAAACAGTATCCAAAAGCTCAAGTCATAACGTGAAAATACATAGCAAAGAATCAAAACAAATAGATTTTATACTTAATTCTACAACAAGATTAACAGAATTTTCTACCAAGTCACCAACTGACGTCGGGTCTCTAAAAGCAGCAAAGAAATAGCTTGGGAACTGAGAGGCAATTATAAGCAGACTAAGAAGCCGCTTTTAAAACACATATAAAGCCAGAACAGAAGAACAGGATTCTAAAGTGTTTCCATTTCCACAATTTAAATTCTATGTACTTACAGTCTCGATACTAACAAAATGCAGTTCTGTGAAGGTTGTGCAAAGAAAAAAGCAACGATGATAACGATCGAGTTCACAGAGAAATTCTTGAATTTCTCCCAATGTATAGTAGAAATCAGGAGTAGACATTATAATGGCTATATTAAAAGGATAATATAGTTATCTCCATACTAAGTGTAGATCTAGCCTTTTAATTCACCTAATTCTACAAATTTGTGCCATGTCTTTGACAAACTGCCAATTGCAAGAGCAGTCATTTTCAGTCAAAAGCTGCAGGACTCCGGAGCAGAGCCCGCTTGGCCTCACTTCACGTTTCTGTTTCTTCTCTGAGTAACAGGTAGAGACTAAATAACATGCTAAGTGCTCCATTTAAAAAGAAAGATCCAGATCTTACCTGAACTTGGCAGCGTAACATCGACAGCAAAGGTAACCACTTCCTCTTTTATGATGTCGACAATCTTTATAGAGCAGTACTGCTCCATTAACAGTGACTTCATAGTTTTGATACAATCATTGCCCCAATTCTCCTCTGCTGGGGTAACATTGGCCACAAAGCACTTTATGGCCTGAAAGATTTTATGCAAGTTACTAAAAAACTTAATATTTGAAAATGACTTATTCTAATTAATTACGTGAAGATTTTTTAATGACAATGTATTTCATACTGAAAATTTATCAAGAATCTTCAAGTACTAACCACATAAACAATTATTTGTCGTTCTTGGTACTCTATCCACAATGCTTTTACTTTTGGGACTTGAAGCTTGAGAAATTCACGAAAGGACAATAATTATCCCTCAATTACACACAAATTCAGGTCGCTTCCAAATAATGTAATAAATATAGAAATGATTGTTTTTAAAGAGCAGATTGATAAGATGTCCTGAAAAATGCTAAGTTTCTCACCTGAGGCAGTACTTAACTATATAAGACCTAATAAAATGGAGCCAAGAAAGCTAATAAGTGTTTATGTAGTAAAAGATATACTGATAGGTACTTTTTAATAATAACCATGGTGGAAGAGACGAGCACATATTGAGTCCATTACAACGTTAAAAACAGCTCCTTTGGGACACTAGCAGGAATTTTTAGAAAATAAAAGAGACTCACACAAGGAGGAAACAAGTCAATGTTTCTGTTTAATTGGTGAATTCTGTTTACTGGAATTATTTCTTCATTTCCATAATCAATATATAAGACTTGTGCCTTCTTCTGCTGCATATCAACATCTTGTATTAGTGCTCTGTTCCAGGTCTGAAAGTGAAATACAGTATAACAGCACACTGCTTCAAAACAGCATTTCACAATCTTAGGTTTAAAAACTCTCAGTCTGCAGAACATGCAAAGGAAAGGCTACTGTTCGGTTCTGAGGCACTCAATCAACAAGTTAGCAAGATTCTTTGAAAATTAAGTTAAGAAATCCCTAAAATTGTCTGTTTAGGACACTTAACTGTGCACAACTACTCCCAAGCTATTCTAGCCCTGCAGACTATCACACACTAATGCCTCAGCTACACAAATGAACACAAGCTCTAAGACCAGCAATCAGTCTGTAACCAGCAATTGAGGAGCCCATGAACAGAGCTGGAGAGGGTTAGGGCAAGGAGGAAGAAACTGAACAGACCCGGAATACGGACTGAAGAAGAGAAACAGGAGGGTGACCAGGGTCTCGCTTTAAGCCATCTAATGCATTATTAAAAGCTCTGGTGTCAAGCTGGTATGACCAAAGTAAATTAAAACACCTTATTAAATAATTCATTTCATTAGGGGTTACCTGGTCAACAGTGTACTTGGCAACACAAACTTCCCCCTTAACAGGAATGTAATCTTCTTCATGCACCATATTTGCATGTGTTTCCTTTAAGCTTGTAGAGAGTTGGTTCATGTATTCTAAAACTTCTGAAGAATACAGCTGCACGTAAAAGTCACTTGGGTGTTTGAATTCAGTAACTGTACCCTTTCAAAGAAAAGATATAACAACTCACTGGGAACACAAGAAATGTAAATTTCTTAAAGCTTTATAACTAAAATACAGAAAGTGTTGTAGACAGTTTTTACAATCTTCATCAATTTCATCAGATATATTTTGTAGCTACCTTATGAACTCAAATTAAAACAGTAAACAAGGAAATAAAAATCTATAATTCTTTAGATTTCTGTCTATGGAGAGTAAACAAAAAATACCTTTATTTCCATGGTTTTCCTGAGTTGTAGACTTCTCAAATCAGAAAACATTATTTTATCAGCACAAACGGCTTTCTTAGTAACTCCAAGTGGATGATCACTCTGGGTTGAAAAAACATAAGAGAATTACATACAAGCACAGGTTTCAATGATACCATGGCCACTATTTGCTGTAATCAAGGCCAAAATAGCCTGATCCTCAGGCTTGAATAACAGAGTAGAGAAACAGTGTACACCTTCAAGAGTCACTAAAACCCAGTGTCCACCGGAAGTGTACACAGCACTGGGATCACCCGAGAATCAGGCCACAATGGCGAAGATAATGTTGAGTTTATTAAAAAAAAAAAAAAAGGGGAGGGAGTCTTTTAAGTTTGCACTTGTTAACATTTTTGGATGAATAAATATTTGAGGAAGTCAGAATATACATAGTTTTTTTTTTGACAGAGTTTTAGAAGGTTGGTTTATTGACACATCAGCACAGCAGCATTCCCAGCAGACCTGGTAGGAGACTGCCTTTCTGGCCCCTTACCTTGGGACCTGTCTTTAAGCACAGAGGAAACAGCTATCTTGTCTTGGAACAAGACCCCCACTTGCACAGAACATAACTCCCAAGAACTCCACTGAGATGTACACAGATGATTTTTTTTTTTGAAAGTAGAAGCTAGGACCAGCTAGAGAAGACTAAAAATTATCTATAAATATGAGTTGGACACAACTGATATTTTTCAGATCATGAATGCTTTTAGCCCATACAGTTATGTAAATGGAAGAAAGGTATTACAGAAAAAATGCTCCTTAGATAACTGGGCACCATTAGAATCCAGTACACAAAGCTAGAGAATGTGTGCCTGCAGGGACTACAAAGAAGGGACTCTCTTGGTAGTCCAAATGATTTTACATCAAGCGACAGCCATCGCAAGTCCTTTCTGGAAAACGGCTGGGCATAAACAGTTCTCAAAGACCCCCAACAGTCACCAAGTCAATCACTAGGGTGTACAGATTTACTCAACAGGAAACTTTTGTTTTTAAATAAACACTGATGAAATGCAGAAATAAGTCATAAGTATTTTATTTAGCTTAAGTTCTCTTAATTCAGGAAAGAGGAGTCATTCAAAATTTACTAGAAAGGCTTAAGAGTACGAGGTATATCATACCTCGTTTTTCACTTCCATGTTCTTTGTTTCAGAAGGTGATTTATTATCTTCAGGTTTGTGGAAACTGAAATAAAGCAACTGATTATAATACTCATAGTACAGAGTCAATTAAGAGTAGCAGCCACAATTATGTTAAATTCTCAATCAACAAAATCCAAAAAGAGCAAAACAGCTTCTTCCAGAGAGAATCACAGTAGTAACAAAGTAAAACAACCCAATGTTGGCTACACAGTGGTCCACCCTGTGCACAAGCCTGCTTCTTCCAAAGGCCACCTAATGAAAGGGGGGTAACCACAATTTCCAAGTCTGTTTCCTCATCTGTAAAATGGAGATAATCCCTACATTATCTACACAGAGTTTTGAGGATCAAACAGTGAAACTGTTTTGTAAAGTGGGAAAGACCATGCAAATAAGACTTACGTACTTAAAATTTCAATTCACGAGGCACTGTGAGAGTTCCACCTTATTAAAATTCAGGAAAGTATATATGATTAAAAGTAAGGCATTCTAAAGCTCTAATCATTAAAAAAAACAAACTCACTTAAGGTTCTAACTCTTAATATGTACTATCTAACAAAATTATACTCATGAAAACTCCTAAATTTGTAGAGCTGTTCATTTCAGATTTGTAGTCTTTATGTTATACCTCAATAAATAAGTAAAAAGTAACAACTTCTACATAGTTATGGCCTGCTTACCTGATTTGATCCTTATAGTATGAGAAAAAAAACTTTATTTTTAAATAGTCTCTAATGAATAAAAAAATCACAAACACTTACTTTTGCTGAACAGGTTTGCATACAATGCTGTGTGCCGACCAGTCTCTCCTCTGGCACGCTGTGGAGCAATAGTATGTCTGCTTGCACTGCGAACACCTCAGCGATCCTGCAGAACACAGCCGCAACATCACCAACGTCAGATACCAAATATTTGTTGTCAAAAGCAAGTCAAACAGCTCAAACACTACTCTATTAATCACATCAAGAAGATTATTTGAAGAGGATTATGCTGGTTATTAGGTGTTCAGATTAAACTTTTAAAACTCTCTCAAAATGCAGAGGAGGAGGACTGCAAAGATGAAATGAAAACAGGAGGGAGAACAGACTGGAAACATAATTGACTTTCCTAAGCAGAGCCCAGAGCACATGTTATAAAAGGAACAATCAAAGGAAATGGAAAATTTTGCGGCAGTGAAAACAGACTTGTGCAAGCAGACTCTGACATGGCTTACCTTGTGCCATTAAAAAAATACAAAACAAAACCAGTAAAGACAAACACCCAGGAAGTTTTTGAAATAAAGTATTAAAAGAAATCCTATCAGGGGCTGGGCCAGCGGCATAGCAGTTAAGTTCACACGCTCCAATTTGGCAGCCCATGGTTCACAAGTTCAGATCCAGGGTGCATACCTATGCACCACTTGTCAAGCCATGCTGTGGCAGGCATCCCACATGTCAAGCAGAGGAAGATGGGCATGGATGTTAGGCCAGGGCCAATCTTCCTCACCAAAAAGAGGAGGATTGGCAACAGATGTTAGCTCAGGGCTAATTTTACACACACACACACACACACACACACACACACACACACCCTATCAGGATCCAGGCAGAAGAAAACAAGTTATCTAAGAACAAAGAAAGAAACAACAACCGGACCATGCTGGCCTCAAATACCTCCACTCTAATAGAAATAGAAAAAAACGAAGGAGCTAAATATCCAAAAAGCCAGTAAGCATATGAAAAACTGCATAAGATCACGGATCATGAAAGAAATGCAAATTAAAACCACAAAGAGATACCACTACACACTCATGAGAAGGGCTAAAATTAAAAAGACTAACACCACCAAATGTTGATGAAGATGTGGAGAAACCAGAACTCATTACCAACGGGAGTGTAAAATGGGACAACTACTTTGGAAAATGGTTTAGCAGTTTCTTATGAAGTTAAAGCTATATCTACCCTTTGACTCAGCAATTCTACTCCTAGGTACGCACCCAAGAGAAATGAAAAACGTGTCCACCCAAAGACTTGTGCAAAAACATGTGGAGAGCTCTATTCATAAGAGCCAAAAGCTAGACACAAGCAAAATGATCAATAAAAGAAACAAACTGTATGGGCCGGCCCCGTGGCTTAGTGGTTAAGTGTGCACGCTCCGCTGCTGGTGGCCCGGGTTCGGATCCTGGTCGCGCACCGATGCACCGCTTCTCCGGCCATGCTGAGGCCGCGTCCCACATACAGCAACTAGAAGACTGTGCAACTATGACATACAACTATCTACTGGGGCTTTGGGGTAAAAAAAGTAAATAAATAAAATTTTTTTAAAAAAATTATAAAAAAAAAAGAAACAAACTGTGGTACATACAATGGAAAACTCAGTAATAAGCAAAAAATAATTAATGTGCATGCAACAAGATTAATCTCAAAAATATTACTCTAAATGAAAAAAGCTTTATATAAAAGGGTCCATACTATATAATTCCATTTATGTGAAATTCTGTAACTGACAAAATTAATTGAAATGTCTTTATCTTGAGAGGGGTTTGAGTTTGTGCATTTCAATGCATGTAAGTTTTACTTATCAAAAACTACAAAAAATAATCAAGTAAAGAAGCAGTAAGGGTGTGGATGAATGGGAATGGTAGGACACTGGTAGCTGCTGAAGCTGAGAGATGGGTACACGGTGTGTATATACTATTCTGTTTATACTTAATGTTTTAAATTTTCCATAATAAAAGTATTTTTCTAACGTGTAGAGGAATAATCCAACAGACACCTGAGAGCAATATGCTTACCAAACAGGCCACAGCGATGGCAAGTTGTTGATCGAAGAGGAGGTCCTAAGGAGTTGAAGAGCGCCGGATTATTTACGGACAAGGAATTCTCAATCAACTTATATGTTTTTTTTGGCTTGGCAGGAGGCACATTATTGCTCGGCTTCTAAGAAAAGAGAATAGAAATATTAAAACTTGGTAATAATTTTTTTTTAATACTAGATTTGGGACTTCCTCTTCTGGGAAGACAAAGTAGATGTACTTTTCCCTAGTCCTCTCAATAAGTACAAGTAAAAACCCTAGATTTATATGTAAAACAAATATAAGACAACTGTGAAAGGCAGGAGAGAAGGCAGCAGACCAGCTAGGAACCTTGGGATTCAGAGAAGGACATCGCGATGAGTTCCCTGAGTTTTCTCTTTGCCTCATATATCCCAGACAGCATGCTGGAGAAGCCAGCAACCCAGAAATGCCAAAAGGTACAGACAATAAAGCTCCAGCAAAAAGCCTGTTCTCTCTAGCCAAGAGACCAGGAAAGGGGCAGCCCAGTAGGACAGAAAACTTTTATCAATAACTGCTCTACTCCAAACAACATAGAAAAAACTGTGGCCCTATTCCCACTAGCAAAGGTAGAGTGGGGAGCCTAGACTTCCACCTTCACCAGGCTAAAATGAGGTATCCCCACCCTCCTACCGGGGTATCAGAGAAGCCAGCATTTCATTCCTGCGGGGTCTCCCTATGGAGACCACATGAGGAGCTTGGACTTCCATCTGGCAGTAATGAGTGCCTGCCTCCCCCCACTGCCACCATTAGGGTGGTACAAGAGGAGGCCTAGTGGACAGCCAGGACTTCTCACCACCATTCAACAGTAATGAGTGTCTCCCAACTCTCCTACCTCTAATCCTTCCTCTGGCCCACCCACTCTCTCCCCACCCTATCCCTCCCCTGTGTTAGTAAAGAGTATATGGGGAGTAGTAATGAGGCACTCATCACTCCCAGCCAGGAAGGTATCAGATGAGGCCTAGTGAGAAGCTGGAACTACTACCCTCACCCAGCAGCAAGGAAGAGCACTCCCTTGGGTGTCAAAGAGGCTGAGTGGAGAATCTGGATATCTACTCTCCCCTGGCAACATCCCTTTCCCCTGATGGAGTGGTGTCAGAGGAAGCTGGCTAAAACAGCAAGTTTAAATAAGACACGGAGTTTTATAACATAATACCCCAAATGTCCCATTTTCAATAGAAAATAACTTGTCATACTGAACCAGGAAAATCACAATTGAATGAAAAAAAAAATCAAAAGATGTCAAAATCAAAATAACAGAGATGTTAAGTTTGACAAAGATTTTAAAGCAGCCATCAATACTTCAACAAGCAATTAGGAACATGCTTGAAACAAATGAGAAGAGAGTCTCAGCAAAGAAACAGGAGATATCAGGAGAACCAAATGGAAGTTTTCAAACTGAGAAGTACAAAAAACAAAAGTTAAAAGTGCAATGGGTGGGCTCAACAGCAGAATGGAGGGGACAGAGGAAAGAATCAGTGAACTTGAAGACTGAACAATAGAAATTGCGTAATCTGAACAACAGAGAAAAAAACAGAGTGGAGAAAAAAAATAAAAGAATAGAGCCTCAGGAACCTATGGAACTATAAGAAAAGATCTAACATTCATGTCTTCAGAGTCTTCAGGAGGAGGGGAGACAAAAGGCAGAGCTGAAGAAGTACTCAAATAATAGCTGAAACTTCAAACTTTGGCAAAAGATACAAATCTACAAATTCAAGAAGCTTAGCAAATCCCAAACAGAATAAACTCAAAGAAATCTACACCAAGACACATAGTCAAACTTCTTGAAGCTAAGGACAAAGAAAAAAAACTTAAAAGCAGAAAGAGGGAAATAACATCTTACTTATAGGAGAAAAACAATTAAAAAGAGAACAGACTTCAGATACCAGGGCGAGCAGAAGGAAGCGTCACAACATTTTTCAAATGCTGAAAGAAAAGAACTGTTAACTGAGAAACTTATCTAGGAAAAATATGCTTCAGGAATGAAGAGGAAATCAAGACATTTTCAAATGAAAGAAAAGTAAGAGAATTTGTCATGAGGACTCATCCTAAAAGAATGGCTAAAGGAAGTTCTCTAAATATAAAGGAAATGATAAAGGAAGGAATGTTGGAACAATTGAAGATAAATAACACAGTAAGCAAACATATGGTAAGTAAACAGACTTTCCTTCTTTTGAGTTTTATAAATTATGTTTGACAGTTCAAGCAAAATTACAACACTGTCTGATGTAGCTGACATACCTAATACATAGACACAAGCACAGGGAAAGAGGCAAAATGAGGAGGCAAAGGAATATGTTCCAAGTAAGAGAACAGGACAAAACCCCACAAAAGGAACTAAATGAAACAGAAATGAGCAACTAAACCAAAGAGAAATGAGCAACCTACCTGACAGAGAGTTCAAACAGAGTGTTAAGGATGCTCACTGATCTTGGGAGAAGAAGGGATGAACTCAATGAGAACGTCAACAAAGAAACAAAGATATAAAAAAGAGCCAACCAGAAATGAAAAATACAATACTGGAAATGAAACACACAATAGTGGAAATGAAAAATTCACTAGAGGGACTCAAAAGCAGAGTAGAGGATACGGAAGAACAGATAAACGAGCTGGATGAAAGACTAGAAGAAATTACCCAAGCTGAACAGATAAAAGAACACTGTCTGAAATAGTTCTAAATCTAGGTAGTGAAAATATGTAACATACAAATGGGGAAGAGTAAACGGATATAAAGAGAGGCAAGGTGTCTATACTTTACTCAAACTAGTAAAATGATAACACCAGTAGATTATGATACATTGTGCACATACAATTTAATACTTGCAACCACAGAAAAAGTTAAATAAAGAAATGCACTCAAAAATACTATAGATAAGTCAAAATAGGAGTATAGAAAGTATCAAGTAACCTACAACAAGGCAGGAAAAAGAAAACAGAACACAAAACAGCAAACTCTCAACTATCAATAATTATATTAAATGTAAATGATCTAAATACACCAATTAAAGGATAGATTGGCAGAGTAAATTAAAACATTATATGCTGTCTATAAGAAACTCATTTCAAATATAACAATATAGACAGGCTGAAAGCAAAAGGATGGAAAAATAAATATCATGCAAATATTAATCAAAAGAGAACAGGAGTGGCTATATTAACATCAGATAAAGTAGATTTCAGAGCCAAGAAAATTACCAGACACTGAGAGGGACATTATAGGGTGATAAAAGGGTCAATCCAACAAGACATAACAATCATAAATGTGTATGTACCAAACAAAAAACAGAGCTGAAAAATGTGTGAAACAAAACCAAATTGAAAACAGAAACAGTTAATATATAATTATAGTTAGAGACTTTAATACTCCTCTCTCAACAATTAATAGAACTAGATAGAAAATTAGCAAGAATACAGAAGAACTCAACATCACTATCAACCAACAGGTTCTGTTAAATATTTATAGACCATTCTATCTAACAACAGCAGAATGCACATTTTTTTCAAGTGCTGACAGAACATACACTAAGACAGACCACATCTTGGGCCATAAAACAAACAACAAATTTATAATAATGTAAATCATATAGAGGGGTTCTTCAACCACAATGGACTCAAACTAGAAATCAGTAACACAATAACAGATAATCTCCACACATTTGAAAACTAAACAATACACTTCCAAATAACTCATAAGTCAGAGGAAAGAAATCACAAGGGAAATAAAAAAAATACACTGAACTAAAAGAAAATAAAAATACAACGTATCAAAATTTGTGGGACACAGTTAAAGCACTGCCAAGAGGGAAATTTATAGCACTAAATTCATACATTAGAAAAGAGGAAAAGTCTCAAATCAATAATCTAAGCTCCCATCTCAAGAATCTAAAAAATAACAAAACATGCCCAAAGCAAGCAGAAGAAAACAATAAAGATAAAAGCAAAAATCAATGAAATTAAAAAATAAATAAAAACTTGGGAGAAAAATCAATGAAAAACTTAGTTCTTTGAAAATATCAATAAAATTGACAAACCTCTAGCAAGACTGACAATGAAGAAAATAGAGAAGACAGTAATTAACAATATCAGGAATGAAACAAGGGACATATTACTACAGATCCTGAGGACATAAAAATGATAATAATGGAATACTTCAAACTGTACACACACAGATTTCACAATGCAGACAAAATGGACCAATTCCTCAAAAATCACAAATTATCACAATATGAAATAGATAATTTGAACAGCCCTATAAATATTAAGGAAATTGAGTTATAATTTTAAAATTCCCCCCCAAAAATCTCCAGGCCCAGATGGTTTTCACTGGAGACTACTACCAAATGTTTAAAGAAAAATTAATGCCAATTCTATACAATCTCTCTTCCAGAAAGCTAGTATTACCTTGATACCCAAACCATACTAAGATAGTAAAAAAGAGAAAATCACAAAGATCTCTCATGAAAACAGATGTAAAAATCCTTATCAAAATGATACCAGATATAATTCAGCAATATATAAAAATAATTATACACCATGACCAAGTGAGGTATTCCAAGGATGCAAGTCTGGGTAAATATTAAAAAAAAAAAAGAGTCAATGTAATCCCCTAAATTAACAGGCTAACAGAAAAAAAACAAGCATAATATCGAAGGATGAAGAAAAAGCATTTAAAAAAATTCAACACCTATTCATGATAAAAATGATCTGAAAAGTAGGAATAGAGAAAACTTCATAAATTCAATAAAAATATCTATAATAATCCTAGAGCTAACATTATACTTAACAGTTAAAGACTCAACGCTTTCCCCCTTAGTTTGGAAACAAAGTAAGATGCTCACTGTCACCACTGTTATTCAACATAGTGTTAGAAGTTCCAGCCAGTGAAATAGGCAAGAAAAGGAAATAAAAAGCATATATTTTGAAAAGGAAAAAATAAAACTGTCTCTATTTGCAAATGATATAATTGTCTCTGTAGAAAATCCCAAGTAATCTACCACAAAAATATTCCTAGAATAAGTGATTTCAGCAAGATCACAGGATATAAGATAAATATGCAAAACCAACCATATTTATATATTTCGGCAATGAACATGAGGACACATGGAAATAAAAAATATAACAGCATTTACAATCACAGAAAAAATTACTTAGGTGTAAATATAACAAAATGTGCACAGGACTTGTAAGCTGAAAACTACAAAGTGAAAGAAATCAAAGATCAAAGTAAATGGAGAGACAGATTGTGTTCATGGATTGGAAGATTCAACACAGCAAAGATGTTCATAATCCTCAAATTGATATACAGGTTTAATGCAATTCCGATCAAAATCCTAGCACAACTTTTTTATAGATATTGACAAGATTATTCTAAAATATATCTTGGAAGGGAAAAGAACTAGACTAGCTAAAACAACTCTGAAAAAGAAATAACGTGGGAGGTATCACTCTAGATACGGCTTCAAGACTTATTACACAGCTCTAGTATTGCATGGTATTGGTGGAGGGATAGACCCCTAGATCAATGCAAAAGAAAAGAGAATCCAGAATACAGCCACAAAAATATGCCCAACTAATTTTTAACAAAAGTGCAAAGGCAATTCAGTGGAGGAAACATAGCATTTTTGAACAAATGGTAATGGAGAAACTGGACATCCTGAGGTAAAAAAACAAAAACAAAAAACCTTGACCTAAGTTTCATAACTTAACTCAAAACAGACCACAAATTTAAATGTAAAACTATAAAATTTTTTTTTTTTGAGGACAATTGGCCCTGCACTGACATCCGTTGCCAATCTTCCTCTTTTTTTTCTCCCCAAAGCCCCAGTACACAGTTGCGTATCGTAGTTGTAGAGTTGTAGCTCCTCTCTGTGGGACACCACCTCAGCATGGCTTGATGCGCGGTGAGTAGGTCCATGCTGAGGATCCGAACAAGTGAACCCCGGGCCACCAAGGCAGACCATGCAAACTTAACCACTATGCCACCGGGCTGGCTCCTATTAAACTTTTTTGGGGAGGAGAAAGAACAAATTTTCTGGATTTAAGGTAGCAAAGAGTTCTTAGACTTGACACCAAAAGTATAATCCATAAAAGGAGAAATTGATCAGGACTTCATTAAAACTGAAAACTTTTGGGCCGGCCCCGTGGCTTAGCAGTTAAGTGTGCGTGCTCTGCTACTAGTGGCCCGGGTTCGGATCCCGGGTGTGCACTGGCGCACCGCTTCTCCGGCCATGCTGAGGCCGCGTCCCACATACAGCAACTAGAAGGATGTGCAACTATGACATACAACTATCTACTGGGGCTTTGGACGGGAAAAAAAAAAAGGTGGAGGATTGGCAATAGATGTTAGCTCAGAGCCGGTCTTCCTCAGCAAAAGAGGAGGATTGGCATGGATGTTAGCTCAGGGCTGATCTTCCTCACAAAATAAATAAATAAATAAATAAATAAATAAATAAATAAATAAATAAATAAATAAATAAATAAAATAAAACAAAACTGTTTTAAAAACTTTTGCTTTGCTAAACATCCCGTTAAGATAATGAAAAGACAAGCTACAGACTGGGAGAAAATATTTGCAAATCACATATTTGACAAAGGACTAGAATCTGGAATATATAAAGAATTTTCAAAACTCAGCAGTAAAAAACCAAACAATCCAAATTAGAAAACAGACAAGAAGAAACAATGACAAGAAAATGACATGAAGAAACATTTCACCAAAAAGGCAAATAAGCACATGACAAGATGTTTATCATTAGCCATTAGGGAAACAAATTATAACCACAATGAGACATCACCACACACCTATGTGAATGGGGGAAATAAAAATACTAAGCACCAAATGCTGGTGAGGACGCTGCATGCAAAGAAACTGGATCCCTCATACATTCTCGGTGGGAATGTAAAATGGTAAGCCGCTCTGGAAAACATTTTGGCAGCTTCCTAAAAAACTAAATATGCAACTACTATATGACCCAGAAACTGCACTCCTGGGCATTTATCTTTGAGAAAAAAACAAAAAACAAAACACATTCACCTAAAACCTTGCACATGAATGTTTATAGCAGTTTTAGTTGTTATAAGCCAAAAAGTGGAAACAATCCAGATGTATTTCAATGGGTGAATGGTTAAACAAGCCAAGGAATACCACCCAGCAATAAAAAGAATTGAACTATTGATACATACAACCACCTAGATGAATCTCCAGAGAATTAGGCTGAGTGAAAAAATCCAATCCCAAAAGGTTACATACTGGATGATTCCATTTATATAACATCCTTGAAATGACAAAATTGGGGGAATATGCATTAGATCAGTGACTGCCAGAGGTTAAGGAGGGGGAAGGGCCCCATAAAAAGGCACATAAGGGATCTTCAGAGTGATGGAAATGTTTTGTATCTTGACCGTACCCATGTCAATATCCTAGTTGTTATATACTATAGTTCTGCAGTATATTACCATAGGGAGAAACTGGAAAAAGGCTACACACGATCTGCTATTTCTTACACTTGTATGTTAATCTACAATTACCTAAAAAAAATTCAACTTTTTAAGTATTAGGTTAATGAAAAGGAATTCTGACTTTAAATAATACCTGCAAATTGAATAATTCTTTATTAACACAATACAAAAATATGTTTAGAATTTTTTACCCAAATAAAAACAGAAAATAGAAAAAAGCCCATAACTTACACTATTTATTTCTTTGGGTGGTGAATTATTTCCAACCTTTAATGGTGACACCGAGATACCTGGGGAGGAAAAACATAATGTCTAATAAAAGCCAAATATTACTTTACTTATGAAAATGTACAATACCATAATTAGGTAATACGCAAATGATAAATCTATACCATAATAACCTTAAAACTGCACTAAAAATAAGCAACATTCTACTTCTCCTAATGAAAAAGAAGGATTTGTCTGAAATTGCCTTGACTATTCCTCCTCTCATTGTGAACTTTCCTCCATTCACTAAGGCAGCGGTTCTCAGACTTTTTGAACTCCTGACTCATTTTACACTTAGAAATTATTGAAGACCTCAAAGAGGTTTTTTTATGTGGCTTAGAAATTAAACTAAATTTTAAAATATTTATTTACTTAAAAATAATAAATGCATTACATGTTTACATGTTTTTTTTAAACTGTTTTCCAAAGCAAAAAAAAATTGTGAGACGAGTGGCACTGTTTTACAGTTTTGCACCTGTCTTTAATGTTTGCCTTAACCAATGATGGTTGGACTCGCATATCTGCTTTTGCATCTGTCACGGTATGCTGCCTTGGTTGAAGCACCTGAGGAAAATCTGGCCTCACACAGATGTGCGGTTGCAAAAAGGAGAAGTATTGAATGGCCTTTTCATGTAATTTCGCATACTTTCCTTTACTATCACACCAAAACTCAAGTGGCAGTTTAAGGGTTAGTGGAATCTAAAACCGTACCAATCAACTTTTCATACTGTTACATTAGAATCCATTGATTTATCTTGCACTTTGAATGGATTTTCACCCATGCAAGACTATGCGACATCACACGTTGGTCATTTGGAAAAGACCGAGAAACTGTGAGTTATGCAGATCTTCCAAATGCTGACACATTTCATTATGCAATATCAAAAAAAATCATGTGTGTTAATATCACCATGCATCTCACCAGAAAAGCCTTTAAGTACTGAGAAGCTGTCAAGCTCCAAGTGGCAGACACAAGTTTCCTGAAATTTTTGCTTGAAAGCTTGAATTTTATCATTAGCAACAAAATACTGTCAGCTATTTTCCTTGAAGTGACAGGCTCACTTTGTTCATTTTTGAGAAAATGACTGCCAGATAAGCCTGAATAACCATAGTTTGACATTCTTTTCAAGTAAAAATGATGTTCCAAGAAAAAAGTTTCCATTCATCTCACAACTCAATCGCATGCGTGCTTTTCATACTTTAGTATGCAGCAGAAGTTAGGGGTAATTTCCATTATGTTACACAAAATGCTAAAAGTACCTATACAAAGGGTCAAGATTTTCTAGTAATTCTTACTGTTTCATCAAGGACATTCTTAAATAAAACTCATGTTTCTGGCTTTTGTTTGTCTTAACAAGTGCATATAAATGAAAAACTCAAGATCACTAGCCTGGGTTGGTGCCCCCGCCTAAAGTTGAGCTGTTAAGCTGCCAGCAGTTTACCCACCTTTGCTTTTGCACCATCAGTGTAAAGTCAGCACAGCGAAAAAGGCAAATAATATTTTCATATTGTTAGGAAAATAGTTCTGACCCCTTGGGGAACCCCATAGGACCAGGGGCCAAACTCAGAACTCCATCACCATAATATTAAAAGATCACATCTCACATACATTCACAGAGGCCCGATTCCACCAGAGCTCAGTCTCCTTAAAAAGCAGGTTTTTTAGAATTAGGACTAAAGGAATGATAAAATAAAATAAAAACATCAAATGAAACAAGTTAACATCTTCGATTATTACATGCATAAAATTTGCATAGTATTTTTAAAATACTGCCAATCTTTAGAACACCCATAAAAAGCCAGAGTGTTTCCTTTCTACATTCCTAGGATAGTTCTCTGATTGTGGAGGGAAAAAGCTCATCTGTAGAAACTCTTTTCCTCCCTCAGGAATCCTTTTAGCCAAAAGTAGCTACCAGGCATCTGGGTTTTCCTTCTAAACTGGTATATAAATGCAAATACTTAAGGTAGCCATTGGTAGTTTAGTTAAGAGCCGACTGGTCTGTAGTTATATGTATTTGTGGTAAGTCAAAGAAACCATCAGAATTAAGAAGTATTAAGCCTGTAGTTTTCACTCACCTGTTGGCAATGTCTTCCTCTCTCCCTTGGATCCAACCACTTCTCCATTGATGCCATTAGGGTTTGAAGATACTGAATTGTCTTCTTGACTAGCCAAATACTGTTTAGTTTGCTCACAAAGCAAAAAATTGTTCTTTTTATTTCCATTCTCTGGGCTTTTCAACCTGAAATTAGGATGGTTAGGATGTCCTCCAGGACTTCTTACAGAATCATGTAGTGGAAGCTTGCTTTCATTTTTCTCAAAATTAAACGGCTCTGTCATTTTACAAGTAGATGCCTCCAAATTATTTCTCGCCATCACATTAAGCGGCAATTTAACATTCATAGAAGTCTAAGGGAAGAAATGTATTTAAAAGGCAACTTTTAATTACAAAAGTAAAAGCACTGCAGGCCCAGGTGATTTCTTTTTATGTAACAGATAATTCTCACGCATGATTCCAAAGCAGACGTAACCGTGATATCAAAGCCCGGCCCTACAGGCACAAGAAAACGATTCTCCAAGTATCAACTCCAAGTTTAACAGAATTCATCAACAGACAACAAAAGACTAACTCAAGAGACATTGAAAGAGTAATCTCAGAGCTGACACCGTTCCTTAGTTTAAAAAGCTTTTGAAACAACAGGAACACAAAAGGACTTTCATGCTTTAAAAGAAGTATTTCCAAGCTAGAGCGCACAACTTAATGGTGAAATACAATAGAGGTTTTGTTTAAATCGGGTCATCACCTGCCTTTCTAGCCTCTCAGCATCCCTCTACTCTCTCCTACTCCATGCTACCCTACGTCCCCGCAGACGTGGAACCCACTAACCAGAACGCCCTCACTCTCTCATCCGCCTGGTAAACGCCTTCCTTCCCAGTCATCCTTCCCAATTTGCCTCAGCTGACCTCTATTCGGGGTGTTTTTCCTAAGTCCTCTGCTTTGATAATTTCCAGCTGAGCTTCCATAAATTGTAACTTGTATCCACTGCTTTTAAGGACTTATCTGTGTGCACCTGTCTCTGAAAAGAAGCTACAGGTATTGTTGCAAAATGCCTCTGAGAGACTTCTATGGAGACATTATGTGTTGTTTTCCTATTACTCTTAAAGAACACTGAGTGTCCTGCCCAGGGATAGTCATAAATGTAGACAAACAACTCCTCTTTTTGAAGCAGTGACCTATAGCTTTGTCTGTAGACTGCAGGCAAAACTTCCACCTATCCTCCCAAAACTGCTCAGAGAGAAAAAAAAAAAAAGAGAGCTGAAACTAGCATGAGTAATACATAAATGCTGTTTAACATTGTTTTGAATAGAAGATAAAGATATAGCAGAAAAATCTTCCCTCTTGGTGCCTTAAAACTTCCATCTCATTTCTTATTTTAAATTAGGCCTGGCCTAATCCCATGACAATCCAGAAAAGATAGAGAGATAATAAAAAAGACATACACAGGCACACTCAAAGGTGGGGCACTCGCAGTGGACCAGGTCCTGGGAAAGTCCCTAATAGGAGGCCTCAGATGGCAGCTGTGCTGGGAGAGCCTGCAGCTGCCAGGGAAAGCACGCCTGCAGCAACAAGCACGCCCAAATTGAAGGATCACACTGAGAACTACAACATTGGATGCAGTATGAAAAGAGAGAAATATTGTGAAATCACAAAAGGAAAATAACATCCAGGGGAAATTGGGTGGGGATACGAATATTGAGTAACTCGAGACTCTACAAGAAAGGTAAAGAACATGTATTTAAATATTAGGGTAACTACCACAACAATAGAAACAATGCATAACTTTAAAATCACAGAAGAAAAAAATGTCAATCCAACAGCAAAAGAAATCAAGCATGGTAAATAGAAAACATAAATAAGATGACAGAACCAAGCCCAGGTAATCTAAGTAGCAATGACTTACTCTCAATTAAAAGAGAAAAAGAGAGACCTAGGAAGAAAAACATCCAGCTAGACTTTATGCACAAAAGGCACACACAAAACAAAATTTTATGGTAAGGCTGAAAATAAAAGGACTAAAACATGTGCTATGCAAATAACCAAAATAAAGGGGGAATGCTAATATTAACAGCAGGCAAAATAGAACTTCAGGCAGAAAATATTGGACAAAGAAAGATATTTCACATTGATAAAAGAAACACTCCAAGGAGAGAGAGCAGCCAGAACCTTTGAATCACAATAATGTCACTTTGAGATGTATAAAGCAAAAACTGACTGAAGGAGCAGAAATTCAGTCCAAGAAAGACACACCTGCCTTAGACACTAGTCAACAGACAGAAAACAAGCACTGATAAATATTTTAGTAACACAATAAACTTGATCTAATAGGGACCAACACAACCAAGAACATTCATTTTTCCAACACTGAGCATATACTGGACTAGAAAGGCCACCTCAACTAACTCCAAAAAACTAGTAACATACAGCCCACGTTCACCATCACACTTTAAAAATCTCCATCTCAGATTGTGCTTCCCAGAGAACCAGCCTGCAACAACCACACTGGAGGGTGAAGGGTTTCATTTCTGTTTTTCGTTTTAGTTTAAAAGTGGTAAAATATCACCAAGGAAATTATAGCAAACATGATGATATAATCAGCCAAAAACTTACAGAAAACACTAAAGGGGCCAGAAAATAAGTATTATTCAATGACAAATTTGATACCTTCCAAAAAGTGGGTAAAGAGTAAAAACATACTGCAGCAGACAGACACTGTGGTTGACTGACCCAAACACCATCTTCTACCACGGATTTGCCAGCTTGAGTGACTCACTACATATTGGCCAAAATCAGAGTTCTCCTCGGCGGAGCTTCTCAGAAAGCTCTGTCCTTTCCTGAGGAACAGGGACAGATGTGGCTAGCAGGGTTCTTCGCCTCTTTTTTCCTGCGACATGGACCTGAGGCCTGAAGATATATCATCCATACTGCGATCAGGAAGCAATAAGCATAAGGAAGAAAGCACAACCTAAGAATGGTGGAGCAGAAAATGAAAAGAGCCTGGTGTCCCTGGTGATGTCCTAGAGTTGTCACACCAGCCCTGATCTACCTATGCATAGACGTGCTGTGGCATCAGACAAATAATAAATGAGCAAAAGCATGAACAGAATGCATAGAAAATGACAATTAGTTGATAAACATAAGGGGGAAAACATTCAACCTCATTTGTAATAAAAAAAATTCAAATTGAAATAATTGTGTATTATTTTCTGTATAGCATGGGTGCAATAAAGGACACTCATTACTGAAGGGAACATAAATTAATATGCTCTTTCTAGGAAACAATTTGGAAATATATAAACACACATATTCTTAAAAATGTTCCTAGCCACTTGCCTGGTAACTCTGCTTCTACAAATCATACCATTAAAATAATTCCGAACATCAAAAAATCCTGCACAGGGGCCGGCCCCATGGCGTAGCGCTTAAGCGCCCGCGCTCCGCTGCTGGCGGCCTGGGTTGGGATCCCAGGCGTGCACCGAAGCACCGCTTGTCAAGCCATGCTGTGGTGGCGTCCCATATAAAGTGGAGGAAGATGGGCACAGATGTTAGCCCAGGGCCAGTCTTCCTCAGCAAAAAGAGGAGGATTGGCATGGATGTTAGCTCAGAGCTGATCTTCCTCACGAACACACACACACAAAAAGTCCTGCACATATAAACGTCCATTTAAAAGGGGGAAAAAAAAGGAAAAAAATTAACTGTGATGCCTTTACTAGATGGAATATTACACTACCATTTAGAATCCTAGTTTTCAAAAACATTGTAAAATGTCTTAGAACAGCAAACGAAAAATCAGAAAAACACTGTACATTCAATATAATAACTGCAAAAAACTCCATGTAAAAAAGATGAATGAAATACATTAAATTTTAAATAACAATTAGTATTTTGGGGTTGACAGGTTAATAAGGGGATCTTTTTCATTTTCCAAATTATGTTTAAAGATAAATGACTTTTACAGGGAAAAGAATTTAAAGATTAAAATCATTGCATATTAAACTTTTTTTCCCTAAAGCGTGGTTAATTCTAAACCAAGTAAAGGATCATAGTAATATTTAAACCACAAAACTAGGGGATAGTCATCTTCTCAGGACACCAGTGGGATCCTCAATATGCAGCATGTAACTTTGTCCTAAATAGTGAGGCTGACAGTCAATCCACAGTCAGCTCCTTACTACCCTGTATTACAGTTACCCACAGACAGTTATGTCTGTCTCCGGATTATTTCAAGTTGCTTGAGTGCAGGCACCACATCTTATTAAAAAAATTAAAAAAACCTCTGATTTCCCATAGCATCTACCACGGTGTTTTGCACAATGAGGCATTCAAAAGATATTCATATGATAAAACCACTTAAAATGCACACTATTGCAATGTTTTCACGAAAACCTGGACAGGGAAAAAGAAATTCACTGTCTGAAATTACATCTGGCAGTCTTAAGTGGAGAATTACATCAGAGCCACGAGGTTTACTGAAATTTAATAGCAAATATTCATGTCTTACATCAACTCTTCTCAAGTCCCAAAATCAGTCAACATGTTTGACTTTGGGAACAACACAATCAGCCTTAGACCTAATGTAAAGTTTAAGCAGCAAATAACAAGGATTTAAGCTTAAAGGAAGCTCCACCTATGGTGGAATATTTAGGTTAGGACACCTCACCTGCCTCACCCTATTCAGGAATTTTCATTACAATGCTCAGGGCTTTTGGAGGCAGCCAGGACAACGGTGAGTACACATAAAGCTTGCAGTCACCTAAAATCTTTTTGAATGTAATTTTTTTTTAATGTGTAATTATCATACCATAAAATTACCTTTTTCTTTTGATTTGCAGTTCTATGAATTTTAACACATGTATAGATTTATGTAACCACAACTGGGATACAGAACAGGCTTTTAAGGCTGAATTTCAACATTAAAAAAAACACCTGTAAGAATCCGCATTTATGCCTACTTGGTTTCATTCTGTGTCGGTCACTGGGCGTACTTGAATCTGGAGTGGGCAGGCCCTACACCATAATGCTGTGCTTCCCAACCTCAGACTGCAGACTCCTGCTATACAGGCACAGAGGTGTGACATATTGCTGCCGAGGGTCATGATACCTCACAGGCTAACCTCACCCACTTTTAAAACAAGCAGTTTCCCCCACATACAATCTATTATTTTTTACATGCTACTGGTGATGAATAATAATATATTTATAATCATCCTCAAATCCACAGAAATGAGCTGTTTCCTTAACTAACACACAGGTTAATTAGAAGGGTCCTCAAATGATGTAATAAAAGAGCAGTAGAATGGAAGCGACCAGCTTCTATAGTTCTACAGGCAAAAATAAAGCTTCGGCTTTG